CAGGATTTGGCCTTAGTTCATTTAGGATATTTAAGTAGCTTTTATAAATAAAATTAGAAACATTACTGGAGTCCATCTTGAGACAAAACAATGGCACTGACATATTGTATTTTAAGATGTGTCTGTGCAAGTTTCTTTCAGTTAAAACATCTCTAGCATGCATATTAGTCTGGGACTAAGCTTAAGCCGGTGGATAGTGTTCCCTTTGACATGTCTGCTGAGAAGGTCTGTTGTGTAAGTTTTATTGCAAAGGTTGATTTGAAATTCATGGAGCATAGCATGCTTTTGTGATGTCAGTTGTTGACGTTGGTTATGACAGTAGGGTATTGCATAGCCAGCATGTTTTTCTCCTCAGCAAACACCTCCTCTGTCCTTCCCAGGAAGAGGGAGAAAAAACGCATCTATGCTGGTATTCTGCCAGGCAACAATTAAATGACCCTCCTTCACCCTCCGTTCACACATAACATTATTAACATGATCAATTGAGACAAAAGAAACCCGTTACACAATTAGGAATGAAATATGTGCAAGCCCAACTGTGACATTTGAGGTGAGCTCTTTCAGTTATGGAGTGGAGACCTGATGCTTTTGGACTAATGTTAATGATTATGGATTAGATCTGTGGGCTCGAAACTTGCCTGTTAATAACTGGTTCACAGGTCATATTGTGTTTTTAAGTCCATTTTGATTGTGATGACAAAAAAGAGTCAGTTGTTTACTTGGTGATTAGACCATCCAGTTTTAGTAATGTGTGGATCTGCCTCCTCTTATGTCATTTTTAAGCAAGATTTAGCAAATCAATTAGATTGAAAAAAGGGATTTATTTATGATAAACCTGGTTATTGTTTATTTTAAAACATGTTCAGTTTATTATTAGTACCATTACATCATTTTTGGTTGTTTCTTACCTGCTTATGTCTGACAAATATGCATTACATTAGGTTTGTTTATTAGTTTATGTTAAACTAAACAATGTAATCCAACTGAATGGAAACCTTATATGCAATTCAAATACATACATCTTAAATTTAGGCCTAAATATGTTTGGAGTGTGCTGTTAGGACTATGTTTTCTATGTTCCTGGGGGGTAGAAAAATATATTTTTCATGAGATTGCAACTATACTTAACAATGGGACTTTATTTCTTCCACTATTTCAAATGTGACTTTTTATCTCACAGTTGAACTTTATTACTTATTTGAACCTCATCTCGCAAGGCTATATATATCTTTTTTTTTACACTGAGGCTAAAACTGGCTTTCAATCATCCAGGACATCAAGCAAAGTCTATTTCTGTGATGTTTGCAATGCCAAAGAATTCAAAACTGGCTCACCTCAAAAGCCCTCGACTTGACACCAACTGATAAACTGAAAAGCTGGGTTTGTTTTTACGTAATAGAAATCCACCACATATTTGTGTCTATCAAGGTTATATCTGGCATTGCATGACCACATTTCACCCCAACAAAAATGTGAATATTATTGGACTGATTCAATCGGTGTGTTCATCCAGGGACAATAGCTCTGTTTTCTGTCTCTTCTGTTCAGGAAGGAGATAAAATTACACAATTTGTAGTTTCTCAATTATCTGACATTGAAATCAAGATTTAACTTTGAGACTCTTACTAGTCTTTATTATGTGCTCAGTGTGAGCACTTGTTATAGTTTAATTGGATTAGTATAATAGCATTAATGTAATGACATGCCATTCTGATTTCAGATGCTTTGCACAGACATGTTCTTCATGTGTCATTTTGTCATTAGAATACATTTCCATCTGCTTATGCAGTTTAAGGCCTGCTACCACTGAAACACTTATAAAATAGTTTGTACTGTTAATGAATTCAGGATTAATTAATAGATGACTTTAATGCTTCAGACAAAGGCAGTTTATTATGTTGTATAGGACTGTCTGGTAAAGGCTGTGCATGTTTCCTCTCTCTGTTTGTTAGATGTTGGATGGCTGTTTGGTTCTGTGTGCTGGGCATTTCTGCTTTGGGCTGATAAGAACATTTTATCAGCAGCTTTTGTAAGAATACAACTTTTTTAAGAATAATTTCTCTCCCCTCCTATTTTCTCCAGGGGTATTTTCAAAGAACCTGTTATAATTAGGCTGTAGATAAGGCTGATTGAATGTTTGAGAAGTCAAAACTAAACGAGAACCTGGTGGACCAGAGTTTGCCAAGAAAGCCACCCATGTGAATAAACGAATAGCATTATGGGAAAACCCGTAAAGTGTATGAGTGACTTCACACGGACACAGCTTTCTTTTTAAACTGATTTATTGTGGATTTGTTGAAGGCAAAGGGCAGGATGAAAGTGTTTGTGATTGAGATCAATCATGGGTGCTTCTCAAATGGAAGGCTTTGTCCTAGTGAGGCTGTGTCCTTCCTAGTTCAGTCGTTTGGAGGCTTGTAGGCTAGAGTCCTCCTCAAAATTGAAAGCTAGAATGAGACGATTTAATAAGTGGTTACGTTTTAAATGTTTCTGCCCCTGCAGTTAATATTCGTAAATACTAATTAGAAAAATACCAATACTGTGGTCTCCCAGTGGTTTACATTGCAGTTTCGCATTATGCGATTAATTTACAACAAAACAGAAGAAAATATAATTCCTTTATCGCAAGCAGTGCGGGGCCGAGAGCTGTGGGAACGGAACGATCTCTAGTCCCACGGAGGAGCACCTGGAAGGATAAAAACAATGATGACGGTGGAAGATGTGAGGGGACCAGGCCCAAGAATTTGTGTTGTTTTGTTTTAGTTTATGTGGTTTTGGTCTTCTGCTTTACTTTTGTAGTTTGTTTATTTTGTGATTAAAGTTAACTTTTACTGTGATGGAGGTTCCCACCTCCTCCTTCCCTGAGCCTTTAACATTGTTACAGCCTTCATCTTCAAAATATATTTTTTTGTCTTGCATTGCATAGTGAAACTGAATGAGCTCCATCTCCGATAATTCTTTTTTGTGAAGTAGAATTTGTGCAAGTGATTGGAGGACACAATGGATATACTTGATGCATCCTTAAAAATAGGCTGAATGAAGTATACAAAACGTAGGATGCCTTCAAAGTATCCTTCAAACTGAGTCGTCCTTTAACGGAGCTTCAGGTATGCGGCCTTACTAGTCTAGGACACAGGTTTCTGATTGAGAAGCACCCTTCACAATTTAAAAATGCAGAATGTTGGCCATGACATATCTTGAAGAGTGCTGTCCCTTTAATAGTAAATGCTTGAGTGAATAGTATCGTCATGTTGTTATACCTGACATTTGCTTTACCTCTATTTATGTTTTTTTATGAGTGTTTTCAGTGCATTTAGAATATCAACCATGTTTGTATACAACCATAACGTTTAAATAATTCACATCATTATTGGTCAGAATTTTATCATCAGCTCATCCAAAAGAAAAGAAACAATTAAGTTGTTCTTATTTGTAAGTCGCTTTGGATAACCGTCTGCTAAATGAGTAACTGTAAATGTACATTTACACACTCATTTTATTCTGTCAAGAATCACTTGAAACTCAATTGTATTGGTGGTGTATGAACCAGGAGGAACCAGACAGCATAATATGCGATCAAACAGACAAAAGTCAGCCTGTCTCATATTGCAGTGTGACCATCACCCATTGCTAAATATGGTTCAGAGTGTGAAATATCTGTGCCCACATGTCATGCCTCTCTGCCCAGTGTGACTGCGTGTGTGCATATGAGATTTGGCTCATTCTCTCTGCTCTGGCTTTAGAGGTCTCACGTAAGGACAGGAAACAAGAGTCTAAGCCAGTGCAGTCCTGTTTACATCAACTAGAACGTGACTTATCTGTCTCCCTCAACATGTTTGTACTTGTGTTATATAACCCGGCAGGCCTTTGGCCAAACCTTCTCCCATATTGAGTCAGATTAGATTAGGCCTAGTCGTGTTACTGCACCTGTCTCGGTTCTGTGTGAACTTCTGGCTGGATCAGAACCAGCTTGGCAGTCGCGTTGGCCATGTGGAAGTGGAGTCCACTGCTGCTTTCTATGAACAGGCTTAAACCGATGACTGTAGGGATAATGCTCTCCCCACTGTACACGCAGCTCTCCAGCCTCGAAAGCAACAACACAAAGCAATCGAGCCTCGCATATGCACCTGTCGAGGATTAGGAAATGCCACCGAAGTCCTTTTTAAAGAAAGTCAGTGCTCTCGGCAGTCATTTATGCACAGCCATGGATACCAGTCATGCAAGTACAGCTTCAGTTTACTTAAATGGATGATGGTTGAAATCTCCAAAACTGTTGGCTAATCTTGTTGCAGTGTCAAATAAAATACATTGCATTGGTTTCACTTTATTTATTTTTTTTATTCAGTCAGTCATATTACTTTGGTTGTGCTGTGTGTTTGATTCACTAAAAAGTAAAGGCTTAAATGAGTAATTGAACTCCACTGATCATGCTGTTTGTTGTTGATTCATCAAAAACTTTTTTTTTTGGAATTGGTTAGATTACACTGGTGGCACTGTATATGTCTTTTAATTTAAAAATAACTTCATAATAGTCAAAAGAACTCATAATAGTTATATGTTCTGGAATCATACTGCACAGGTCATGCAGTTTATTTTTGATTCCCTAAAAATAATCACTTGGAAGCGTCATTTGTCTAGAAGGAGACTACACTGGTCGCACTGTATGTTTTTGATTCACTAAAAAGAATCGGCTTTATAAGAATTTGGATTTCTCTTCTTTCTTTTTTTTTTTTTTCAGCAGGTCTTCTCCATATACTGGTGTATACACAGAGTTGTATTATCAGTTAGAAAACTGCTATTATACATGATGTTCCTCAACTGAGTGGAAGCATGATGCACTATTAATGATCAGCCCGTGGCTGACTCATTCAACCCAATGAGTCAAGAGTCGGACTAAAAGTGGAGAGAATATCACCTGCCTTAATCAGACATGCTCTCATATGAAAAAAAAAGATGTTTATGTGGGTGTTGTTTTATAACCTGGTTGTTTTTGTATCTTTCAGCTGTTATGTATGTGATGGGTGCTCTGGGACCAGCTGCAGGGTACCTCCTGGGAGGCGTTCTGATTGGCTTCTACGTGGATCCCAAAACAATTGCCAACATTGATCAAAGTGATCCACGCTTTGTTGGCAACTGGTAAGATCTGTTCTCCGTTTAGGTGTGTGTAGCTTCCTTCCAAACTTTGAATTAAGAATTACATTTTTACCACTTTTTGAACACACAATTACACTTGAATATCCCATTTCAGTTCATTTATTTAGGTTTTGGGTCATAATTTATATAAGCCACCTTTAGCTAATTATTAATGTGTATTGCCATGTTCTTAGGTGGAGTGGTTTCCTGCTTTGTGCTTTTGCCATGCTGTTGGTCATCTTCCCCATGTTCACTTTCCCCAAAAAACTGCCCCCTCGTCACAAGAAGAAGAAGAAAAAGCACGGGTCGGACAGCAGCTGTAATGATGACGATGTCTTGAAAGAGAAATCCGACAGCAAAGGCCAGACTGTGGCATCCTCCATGGGCTTTGGGAAGGACATCAAAGGTGTGTGTCTGATAAAGGTCACTACAGGAAGCGTGCATCTTCATATTAAAGTGTTACCTTGAAAATGTGGCTATTTTTGTCCCTCTGGCTCTCAACACATTCTAAGAAACATCAGATTAGCAGAGATTAGCGCTTCAGTCATCATATTGAGAAGCCTTTGACCAATGTAAATCTGCTTTTCTGCAGATTAGTCCTTTTATTTAGCGTAATTGGGTTATTTAAAGTAGTAACTTGGTGCTTTTGTCCAAACCATTACGGTGCTGTTATAATAAAGACAGGATTTGAACCTGCAGTCTTTCAGTTATAAGCTCAGATGATCTTGATTCATTATGCTCCACCTCTCTCTCATTTAATTTTACAGCACTGCTGACCAATAACCAATGACCAGTCTTTATAAATAAAGACTGCGCACGCTTGCAGAAGTTGCCTTTCATTATTCATCTGGGAAAGCATTAATGACAGTTCTGCCACACTCATCACTAATATGGTCCTTTTCATTACCAAACCGCAATTACTCTGCTGCGGAGGAGAAAATATTGCTGAAACTTTATGATGATAGAAAGCTGTTTCTGCCTTACAATGAGAAATACAATGGCTAATTAACTGAGATTAATGTATAAAATAAGAATTAAAGTCACGTTGGGAATATAAAGTCATTTAAAAGTACAGTAGCAATACAGAAGCAATTTTAGTGGCACAATACATCAAAATATCATGACCAAATGCTTCAGAAACAAGGATATTGACTGTACGAAAAGTAGAGCAAATAAAGTCAGTAAGTTAATTAATACTTTTATTCCGCACGGATCTATTCAATTGATCATAAGTGACAGTAAAGGCATTTAATATTACAAAAGATTTTTATTTTAAATAAATGCTGTTAATTATTTTTTGTATATTCATTAAAGAATCCTAATTAAAAAGGTATCACAGTTTCCACAAAAATATTGACCTTTCTTAACATTTAAGAAAAGTTTCTTGAGCACCCAATCAGCATATTAGAATGATTTCTGAAGGATCATGTGACAGTAAAGACTGGAGTAATGATGCTGAAAATTCAGCTTTGCCTTTACAGAAATAAATTACATTTTAAAATAAATTTAAATAGAAAACTATTTTAATTGTAAGAAAAATGCTTCACAATTTTTTTTTTTTTTTTTGAAATACAGCCTTGGTGAACATAAGACACCTCTTTCAAAAGCATAAAAAAAAAAAAAAATCTTACCGACCCCACACTTTTGAGCAGTTGTGTATATTGAGTGATAAATCTCATTGCTGTTCTCGTCACACTGTCTAAACTATAACCAGATTATTGGCAACTTTTGTCCTGCTTTGAAAAAGTCACACAAGTGACTACAATCAAAACAAGTTCTATAAACCCACTTTAACCCACTTCCATTCCCCTGGCCTGCATGTGTTTGCATAAGTAGGCTTTCAACATAACTGCAATGCTTACAGTTGGGTAGAGTAGTTTCTGGGACTTTGGTGTAGGCAAGCTGTTTTGTTCATTAGTAGGTTTAAGCATTTAATATGGTTGCTCTGTACAAACTCCTGTGTCTCTCCTGTCAGTCCCATAGATGCTTTGAGGGGTCAAGAGTTCAACATCCGGAAGCAAATTAAAGTTTGATTATAGTCGGTTACCATGGAAACAGTGCTACAGCGATAACTTGCTAATTAAAAGAATTGGCTTTGTTGGACATGATGAAGCATTAGCTAAAACCTATGGGATTTAAACGGATTGAATCCAGAAGATCTGTGGAGACACCATGTTTAGGTTTAGCGGTCTTTACTCTGTTAGGACAGTAATCATCTGTTAGTATGGATTACGACTGGTAGGAGAAAGCATGTTGCGTCTGTGACTAAAAGCATTTCATGAAGACTATAGAAATTAGCAATTTTTTTTTTCAGTTTTTTTTTATATATTTAAGGGTATCACCTTGCTCTCTGCTATTTTTTTTATTGATAACCAATTTTATAGATAAGCAATATATTGTGAATCAGCTTATGTTAGTTTTTTTATATGAAAAAATCTCTCTCTCTCTCTCTCTCTCTCTCTCTCTATATATATATATATATATATATATATATATATATATACTGTATATATATTGCTCAAGCTTGTTTTTTAGATTACATTTGTTGTCATGTAGTGATAATGTAAAGTCAATTGTTTAAAACCCTTAAAATTTAATAACACTATAAATTGTTATGTTTAGCAAATCTCTAAATGAATATTTATGATAAATATGAAAAATCCATTATAAATTATGTTTTGATGCCTAAATTCACTTGTTAACTGTTTTTAGTCTTTAGTGTTTTATTTTAATATAAATATAAAAAACAAATTATATTTATCAACCATAACATGAAAATAATTATAATCTTATCGAGATTGGCCTGAATTATAATAACGATGCAGGGTAAACAGAAGCTCAACCATCCTTGATGTGCGAGAACAAACTTCATTGGTTCTTGCAGAAGCTCAAACGTGCTGCATAACACGAGAATTAACCTCATTGGTTCCCGTACGTCCTTTTACCATACCTGATGTGTCCATGATGAACAGGCTTTTATTCACATATAAACATTCATCAAAGCGATTGTGTCTATTCAGAAAATTCATATGGATTAGATTTACAATCTCTTTATGAAATTTTTGAAGAGTCAAAGTGACAGTTGCGTAGACTGTCAATGGAGGGACAGAAATCTCTCAGATTACATTAAAATATCCTCATTTGTGTTTCGAAGATGAACAATTGTCTTAAGGGTTTGGGGTGAGTAATTAACATTTTTGGGTGAACTAATCCTTTAATGTCAACTATAGCCAGGGTATGTGAGCCAGTTTATTTATAGTTGCTGATGCTGTTTGTTTTTTGGTTATTTCATTGGACAGAGCTTCCCAAGGCTGCCATAAGGATCCTCAGCAACATGACGTTTCTATTTGTGAGTCTGTCCTACACGGCCGAGAGCGCTATTGTCACTGCCTTCATCACCTTCATCCCCAAGTTCATCGAGTCGCAGTTTGGAATCCCTGCCTCCAATGCCAGCATTTACACAGGTACACGATTATCCTGTTTTCAGTATGTAAGTAATTAAATCTCTCATTCTATATGCCCTTTTTTTTTCTCCCTAACACGTTTACGTATGGTTTCCTTTTTTGTCTTATCACACATTTCACTTGATTCACACTCTGCTCATCACATTAAAGAACATGTGTTAAAAATAACGTGTGAAAACGTGATATTTCTTTTCACTGCTGTTCCCACTTATTTTGTAGAGGCATATTTGATTGCTATATAAAGCTGTGCAACCTTCTTTGAGCGTTTATCACTGGGTTTCAAGAGACCATAAAATCCCTTTCTCTTAAGAATATTTTATGTTCTTGCTCATCTTAATAAGCCCTCAAAAACATCTTGCCCTCCATCTCAGACTCAAGATCATTATTAAGCCATGCATATGTCTAAATATCTCAGCACAGATGCTCTCTCATAAGGTAACTGAGACTGGCCAGGATCCTTAAACAGAGTAGAGGGCATGATCTGGTTCTGTCAGCACAGGCCACTGTTACTTTGATCCAGTTTATTTACTTACTAATCTAAAATCTTACAGTATTATATACTGATGTATCAAAGTATAAAAAATAAAAAAAAAAGAATGAAATTTGAAATTGAAAAATAATCTCTCTTTATACAGTAGTGGGTAAAAGTGAAGTCCGGAGGGAATTGGTTTGGGTATGTTTTTAATGACCTTACAAGTTTGATTAAACCATCGAAATATTATAATATAATATATATATTTTTTTTAAATTTTAAATATGAGAAGAACAAAACATTAAACTTGGTTAAGGTATTTATCTGTCAAAATTATTGGCAAAAACTTCAGCTACAGGTTTAATTTTACTATGAAGATAATGCATAGAAAAACAAAAATCTATCAGGAAAAAGCTTACATTGATTACAACATGATCTGTTACTATTATTTTATTGGTTCTCTTCTGTTTTTGCTTGTGTTCATAATTTCTTTATGACACCCTGGCTAAAAATGATGTCTGCACAATAGGCTCTGTGCACGGCAGTGTATTTCAGGCGAAGGTCTAAGGATGCTGGATTACTTCCGCCGATCGTAGAGTCCGAGAATTTATATTGGCTTCTATACTCTATGGCTATACTAAAGGAACGTTAGTCACAAAAACAAAACCACCTCTCTTTTTTTATGCTTATTTCTGTTTATTATATTAAATAAACATAACTATACATAAAATGACATCTAAACGTATATTAAAGTTTCATTTCAAAGACGAGAGGACAGCAAATTTTGTAGACTCTGCCATTATCCCATTTTTCCTCCGCTTTAAATTTCCCCAACCGGAAACTGAAGAGCAGCCTTGTGTCAAATGCGTAAATTTTGCGTGCATATAGCCTATTTGGCAGATTTCATTTCGTTATTACAAATAAAACAACTGACTCTGAGCGAAACTTCCCAATATGCTTACAAAAGCTTTAATCTTCAAATGGTCTTCGTTTCCTGTTTACATTTCTGGGCTTCGGGGTCTATACGACCCCAACAATTGATTGAGTAATTGTACAAAAAATATAAATTTTTAACCATACAAATAATATCATTTTTTTTTTGTTTACTTCTCATCTATTCATTAATGCTATGTTTTTGGAGATATAAAGTACTTTTGTATCCATATACCACACAATTACTCAACTACACCATTAGCTTACATATGAAATATTACTTTTTTATGATGTATTGCATTTTTGCTCTAGTACTAGGCCTTCATTTCTGTGTAAAAATTTTCAAATTTATGCCGGATTTTTTTTTTTCTTTCACATTTCCCATTCATTTCAATGTGGGGTCATATTGACCCTGAAGACCAGAAGTGTAAACACTTTTTTTTTTTTACATACCTTCAGAACAACCGAATCAAGCCCAGTTTTTATGTGTGTGTATAAATAATAATGTATGAAAAGTCACAAAATCTTATTCCACTGAGATGAAGGGAACCTTTTTTTTATTAAGTAAAAGTCGATTGACCCGATTGAGGGTTAATACATGTGCAATAATTTTAATAAAGGGTGAAGATGTCAATTTTCCAAGGCCGGATATCACACACCACAATGCTAGTTGTTCTTGTGATGTTTTTAAAAGATTTTAAGTAGCTCACAGCAGCGTGTTGTGTGTGTGTGTGTGTGTGTGTGTGTGTGTGTGTGTGTGTGTTGGCAGTATCAAGTCCCGTACTTGCTTTGCAACAAAAATGAACAACAGCAGCAGCGTAATAGATCTATTCCAATAAGACCAAAATATCAACATTGTCAGACAAACACTCTGAGAGTTGTCAAGACAGAATTTCCATTATTAGTTAAGCTTTTATTCAAATATGAATAATAATAATGATGGCTTTGTTCAAATATGACCAAAAATTATAATGATCTTTGCCTTAGGAACACTAATAACATCAGAATTTTGATTTCAAGTCATTATTGTGGCCCCTAAGCTTGTTGCCAGGATACAGGGGGAGAAACAAATTAATGGTATGCTTGCTATGTTGACTCTTAAATATGCTTATGTGTTCTTAGATTATAACAGGAAAACAACTTGTTGGCTAGAGCTGTCAGGACTTAACCTCTGATAAACTGGGTAGAAATGTATGACATCCCAACAGTCCCTCATGGAAAGGTCTCTCCTTCAAACCTGTTCTCCGATTTAAACCCATGCTAACAGCAGATTGATATGCCTGCTGAAGTCAGAGCTTTCACAAAGGCCTGAATGTTTTACACATCAATAGATGCAAGCAGTTTGTCGTTTTATGCTGTTTCCTCAGTTATGGTTGCCAAGATTCCCTTCACCCTGTAAGACTGCAGCTGCAGAAACTAGAGACGGACAGAAGACAGATGGTGTAACATAAAACAGAAAACTGAGGCTAGGGAGCATCAGAACTGCATTTACACGCCATCTTTCCTACAAATTAATTACAGGAATTTCAAGTGCTATAAATCAAAGAATGATTCAACGCTTCCTATCTCCTATAATCCTATGATTAACATTTTTTTAATTAGCCATAAAGGTGCAGACAAATTTGTGGAATTGCACTAGCAAAAAAGGTCCACTGTTTATGGTCAGTGAAGCATTGTTTACACAGAATTCTCTTTCAAATCAAGCAGTTTTCTGTTGGTCAACTTGGCAAATTTATGTGACCAACTTGAAAATGAGCCTGTGTTTTTGCCATCACTTATCACTCCTTCAATATCAAAAAGTGTGGTGTTAATTTTGTCTATTTTTTAATGTAGTCTTTTTCGTTTTTATCCTATTTATTCAACCTTCTCTTGGTTTTGTTTAGTCAAGTTTTAGTCGACTAAATGCTAGGGCATTTTAGTCTAGTTTTAGGGGATGTTTGCACAACACCCTTTTCAACTAAAAACAGAATGAAATGTATGCGTTTTGCTCTTCAATTACATGACAACAGCGTTTTGGGGGCCTGAAAACGAGTTTTAAAGTGAAAGGTTTTGAAAACGATACCGACGTTATCTTCTCCATTTAAACTACAAAACGTTTATTTGTGAAAACGGTGACATCATGCGCATGCGTATTTTGGCGAGTAATGTTATTTTCAAAGTGGCATTGCTATTTACTGGTCGATTTTAGATAACGGGAGTCTTTTTGACAACTTTGTACGGAAAACTTTTCTGTTTTTAGTACTTTGTTGACGTGTAAACACCTTTAGTCAGTGAAAACTTAAATTGATAATCACTTTTATTTTGCTCAAAATTATAATCGCAGTGATTTTTATTTGAGATTTTTTTTGTTGTTGTTGCACTTTCACCTATAAACACAAATTAAGAAACTCTTTTGCATGGTTTACTTTACCTCATCTAGTGAATATTTATTATATACTAACAGAAATGCAATATGACACCCATAACTATGTTTAAAGTGGTGCATGAAGAACTTACTTAATAAACCGTAATGTTTTTATTACCTTAGAATGAGACATTTATATCTACATAACCGCAGCACTCCCTTCTATGAAGGTCAACATATTTTGACATCATGTTTCTATCATAGGGCATCAGAGTATTTGAGGTTTTGCAGTGTGTTTTGTGTATTTGGTTGTGTTGTGAGTACTTGGAGCACACGTGTGTTGTGGAACTGATGAAGATGTTTTTCTTAATTTGCGGATGTTTTTTTTTTGTATTTGCATGCGTTTTTATATTTGCACACGTTTTTTTGTATTTGCATGCGTCTTATTTAGGTTGCAACACGTTGAACTCTCTCGGCCACCGTATTTTTTGTTAAAGTATTCATTATTGAAATTAACACTGAAACAGTGGCTTGATGCTAAAGCATTTTTTCTTCCTTATTTTAACATCTCACTTTGGCTCTGTCCAAAATCTCTCCCTAAAACCCTCATTTACTAATTCCTTACATTACTCCACTAATATTTATTGTGCATTGATCAAATACAGAGTCTGAATACTAGGATAGTTTTCCAGTCCTTTTCATTGAAGTTCAAACATTATATAGTATCTTTGATTGTCATGTAATGTATAAACGTTCATTAAACAATTTAATTATCAGTTAAAGTCTTTTATTATTTAGCCACATTAGACCAGCTGTTTAGAAAATGAAAGGATGTATAATTCACCTGCGAGCGTCATCTTCTGGTCACATGTAGGAACTAATTGTGCATAAGGGTATTTTCTAGCCGATTTATTTATATATATATATATAAATAAATAGCGGTTGTACACTCATTGTTGTGGTGCATTGTGGGATTGAATGAGTGCACTCAATCCACTTTCGGACACCACTACAAATGGCTGTCCCCTTAAATAGTGCCCTATTTAAGAGAATAGGGGTTGATATCAAATAGCCTCTGTCTTCAAGTCCACATGACCTCAGACAGCACTAATGACAGTGGTGTGTGTGTGTGCGTGCAAGAGAGATCTGTCAGTAGGCTGTGGTCATTAACACCCTGCTTTGCTCCAGCTTGTGGCCTACAGGAATTGTTGTGCATGTCCTACGCTGCCCTCCTCCTCAGCACACACACACACACACAGCTCTATGCCAGCTGTGCACACAGTCTCCTAGGACATCCTCTCAAACTTTCCCTGCTTGAGGGTTTGTGTGAATAGTGCTCGTTTCTTCTTCTCTCATGATAGGGAGGTGTTCCTGACGCACTACTGGCTAAATATAGCCCAAAGGAACATTGTATTGGCTTCACACAGCCGTGGTTGTCTCGTGAATGGGTGTTTTTACCACCTTTTTAGGTTGGAAGGGTGTGTGTGTTTATCCATGTGTGGATGTACAAACCTTTATTGGAGTGTAATGAAGTTAGGTCTAATCAGCTTGAAGCTAGCTGAAGCTGGATTTTCATGCTTGTTTATGCTGGTTAGCCGGTGTACTTCCTGATGGAGATGGTTTAGCTTTGAGGCCAAGGTTTATCTGGTTAGCACGATCCAGTTAGCAGCTAATGTCGCAACTACACCATCTGGGAAATGTATTCATTGAAAACCTTTCAAAAGTAGCTGTGCATTCTGACCGTTTCTATATAAATACCATTATGTACCATTTTATAGTTTTATCAGTGCAGTGTTTTATCTGTTATCACTATGCTAAAATAGTAGGTTAAAGTCAACTTGAAATCAAATTTGACAATACTTTTTTTATGGAATATTGCAGCATTTATTATAAATTATTTATCATGTGCCCTTACAATATTTAATCAAACTAACTTTCCCTTGTCTTGCAGTGATATCTCTTTTCTGGCGTTTACTAGAGCGAGGGAGGGTCAACCTTAGCCTGACTTCGTCATACTCATATTTAAGAAAGAATATGAGTCTGAAACTCCTTCATTGGGCTTTGATTATGAGGCGTGTCGTAACTGAACCAGGACAAAAAAAAACCTCTGCACTCAATTGGAGGGTCGGTAGACCTACCAACCAATCAGAGCAACACATAAGTCAACTCCTTTGCATAGCGCAGTTTTCAAATACAGAACGTATAGCCTAACTTTATTTATTTTAGAAGTTAAATAACGAGTGTTACTTCTTTTACTTACTTCTCCATGAGTGCCACCAAAGGAGAAACCACAACGACCACAGGCTTTTCATTACGTCCCATCTTCTTGACGACCGTCAGAGCCAGCTGATAAGTTACACTTTTCCCACATCATGTAGGAAGGACGCCAAAAATATCTTTCCGATCGACAAATGCCTTGATTGCAGTTCTCTGTTTGTCTATTAAAATGAATGCGCTGTCATTTTTTTTTTTTTTTTTTACAAAAGACGCGACAGCGGAATCTATACATCTCAATTCTCCAGCTGCAGTCATCTTTGACAAGCGCACTTTGACGTGGGGATTACGTTACTGAAGACCACCTGTCAATCATCGTGGCAATTTGATTGGCCCGATGATTTTTGAACCGATCATAATTATTCCTCAATGGATCGAGTCCAGACCGAACTTCCCGTCCAAAAAATGTTGTGGGCGGAGTTCGGGCTGGCATCCAGGCTAGGTCAACCTGTCACTCACATGAGATCGACCTATAGCAAACCACAATGATCCAACGATCCAATCAATGCACTATGTACAGAATCACGCTTTGTCCTATATTTGTTGTTGTTCGAGAACCCGTTTTACTCTGATATGTCACAATAGGGAAGAAAAGACTATTGCAACTTCTGTTTCTCGCTGGCTTAATTTTTAATTTTGTACTTTTCTGGTAGCGCTATACTAAACTTAAGCTAAGCTGTTAATTTACTAACTGAAATCAACGTTTTAATTGGACCATTTTTAGCTTATGTAATATAATATGTAATAAAAAAAACATTTCAGCATGAATACACTTCCTTTTGCCATTATATAAGTGCTTTTATGAGGAGCTCGCTCTTGACCATGCTGAAAGCAGACATGTGCTTGCCTTGCCCACCCAATGGATTTACACAGTGACCTCAGACTGCCAGCAGTCAGCTTTGACTTTCAAATCCCAGCTGTGTTGCCAGCACGTGTGCCACGCTGATGGAAGCTGCTCTGCCACACTGTTATTCTGCCAGCCTGCGATGTCTGTCTTTGGTTCTTAGTCACTCAGTGTTTTGTGTCTAAATTGTACAGCCACATGGTAGTGGTATTGTGAGCATTTTTGTTCTTTTTTATGATGGTCCTGTGAACCCGCTCAGGATGTTCAAATTCCTTCAGGTCTTTGTGTCAACTTCCACCAATAGAAATGTTGACATTCCTTCATTGTCACATTTTGCTTCTCTACTTGTGAAGATTGTTTTTGTCTTCTCCATTTTTAATGATAGACGATGTTTATTCCACCCAAAATATGATATATACACACTAGCGTTCAAAAGTTTGGCGTCATAAGTGACAGCAAAGACTTTAATAATCTTAGAAAAAAAATGTATATTAAAAAAAAATGCTGTTCCCTTTGAACATTCTATTCATCAAAGAATCCTGTAAAAAATGTCATGTTTTACACAAAGAAGCAGCAGCACAACTGTTTTCAACATTGATAAGAAATAAGAAGTTTCTTGAGCACCAAATCTGCAAATTGGGTATATATATACTTCTGTTCTGATAAATGTGGACATATGTATGTGTTCATTTGGCTTTCTGGACAAGCGTTACGACTGATCTCTCTTCTTTTTCTTTCAGGGGTCATTATTGTGCCTAGTGCAGGCGTGGGCATTGTACTGGGCGGCTACATCATAAAGAAACTTAAGCTTGGAGCCCGCGAGTCGGCCAAGCTGGCCATGATCTGCAGTGGGGTTTCTCTTCTGTGCTTCTCCACCCTCTTCATCGTGGGCTGTGAGAGTATAAACCTGGGTGGCATCAATATCCCTTACACCACAGGGTAAGTGAATGCACAGACATTAAAGCCTTTCAGTTTAAGGTATACTGCATGGATATGGGTATCCCATTAATGTTATGGTTTCAATTATATTGAGCTTTTACAAACATTAACATACTATAAACAATGTAAGAGGCATATGCTGAACAGCAGGTGCAAGGGCAGTTTCTTGCATCATTGCACATTTCAATGCCCTTACATATGTCAACACGTATGGTCTGAAAAGAAATTTTTTTATTTGAAGAAACTATAACTCATTTTTAATAACTATTTTTTTTTAGACAAAATCCATCTGAAAACTATATATATATATATATATATATAAATACACACACACACACACACACACACACACAGTCGTGACCATAATTAATCATACCCCTGGTAAATATGATATAAAATGGCAGTAAAAAATAGATCTGCATTGTTTATCTTTTTGATCTTTCATTAAAAAAATTTGCAAAATCCTAACCTTTTGTTTAAGTAAAAGAATTGAAAGTGGGGGGGAATCCCATTATAAAATAAATGTTGGTCCCACTTTATATTAAGTGGCTTTAAGTACTCTGTACTTACATTGAAATTAATAATTTGATACAATGGACTTATTGTGTACGTACATGTTTTTACATTGTACTTACATTTTAAAAATACCTGCACGTAATTACAATGTTGACCCTACCCTTGCACCTTAACCCACCCTTAAACCGACCCATACCACCACACCTGTCCCTACCAATCTCCTTTTGCCAAGATAACTGCTCTGAGTTTTCTGCTATAATGCCTGATGAGTTTGGAGAACACCTAACAAGAGATCAGAGACCATTCCTCCAAACAGAATCTCTCCAAATCCTTCAGATTTATTTTTTACAGCTATTTTATATCATATTTACCAGGGGTATGATTAATTTTGGTCACGACAGTGTGTATATATACAGGAAGCGTGCGTGGAAGATTTAATGGATCAAATAGCGCTGACATGCAATCCAGGAGAAACATTGTGCCATGAATGAACTATCCAGTGTTCACAGATCAGCAACGTTCACCATGGGTTTACTGTAGTAACACTAACTGTTACCATGGAAGTTTGGCAGGAATAGTAGGCTATAATGATTTCAAATTACATCACTTCGGTTTTATTTGTATTTGCTCCTTGTTTCCTGTATGCCATTATTGACCAAACTTGATTAATTCAGGTGTGTTTGATTATTGTTGCCGTGACTACTGAGGTCAGTCACACCTGAATTAATCAATTTGTCCAATAATGGCATACAGGAAACAAGGAGCTGGCTTAAGTTCAGGAAGTAGTGCAGCTGTGCATAAAGTCAATTGCTGCCCTCAAATGTTAATCTGAACTAAAATAAACCTTTGTTTATAACTACAACAATATTACCTTTCATTTCAAGGAGCTGTTTTGATTTATATGCTCCTAAGAAAAGTCAAGTATAGCTCCATCATTGCTCAAGTTTAAAAAATATCATACTTTATGATGTTGGTTTTAATGAAAATATAATTTAAAAAATAAAATCAAGGAAATTTCTCTGCCATTTCTTTCTTTTTGCTGTATCGGAAACGTACCGAACCATGAATTTTGTGAACCGTTACACCCCTAATATACAGTATATAGCCTACATAGGCTCTATTGAGTGACACAAGTTGATTTCTAGGGCTGAAGTCAGCGGTAGGTTTGCACAGGCCTGACTTGCGAGACAGCGTGTTTGGCACTGAAGTTTGAGGCTATTTTTCAACAGATAGAGCTGCCTTGTGAGACAGGTATAGAAATACAAAGCATTTGTGCTCAGTCAACGCTCACATTCCACATCCGTCCAAACAGTTTGTGTTTCTTTTCACTAGTCTTCTCAAGGTTAGCCTTTCTCAAAGTGACAGTATTTCCTACGGTTAAAGGAGACTCGCATGCACATTCAGAAGTGCTTATTTATTATTTATTCATTTATTAACCACAGCCTCTTCAGCTCGGGTGACCTTGACGAAAAAAACGCTTTTGTTAACTGAAGCTTAAAGGAATCATTTTCCCACATATTTAATTCACTCATGTCTATGACTATTTCATTTTAAACCCATATGACTTTCTTTCTTCTATGGAACACAATGTAGAAGAATTGGCCATACTTATCCATTTAATATAAAAGGAAAGAGGATCTGAGCTGCCAAGCTTCAAAATGACAAACAAAAGCAGCACCATGTTATCCCTTTAAATCCTGTACGGATGAGAGCTGACTATTATTGTGTCTAGTTTTGTCGCAGAGAGGTCCGTCTCATTTATTGTTTATAGACTGGATTCCATTCTGTCCATCCTGCTGGCTGTGTTATGCCATGATTCATCCCCTTATTCTGCTGTAGATCTGTGAGGATAATGTAAAGTCAACCAGAGCTGTTGCTGTGTTTAATGTGGGAAAGTGCTGTTTGAATTTGCCTGACATTCCCACAGCATTAAAATAACTGTTTATACAGTATCTCTATTTATTTAACTGTCTGTCTCTTTCCTTCTCACTCTCTTGTATGCACTGAGGGATATGACCGTTTATATATATCTACACTACCAGTGAAAAGTTTTAGATCGGCAAGATTTTAATTTTTTTTAAAAGAAGTCTCTTTTGCTCACCAAGGCTGCAATTATTTGATTAAAAAATACAAAAAAAACATTAATATTGTGAAATATTATTACAATTTAAAACAGCGGTTTTCTATGTGAATTTATAGTGAAGTGTAATTTATTCCTGTGATTAAAGCTGAATTTGCAGCATCATTACTCCAGCATTCAGTGTCACATGATCCTACAGAAATTATTATAATATGATGCTCAAGAAACATTTATGATTATCCATGTTGAAAACAGTTTTTTACATTTTTATTTCAGGATTCTTTGATGAATAGAAAGTTCAAAAGAACAGAATTGATCTGAAATGGAAAGCTTTTGTAACATTAATCACAACCATTCAAAAGTATGGGGTCAGTAAGAATTTATTTTTTATTTTTGGGGGAAATAAATTAGAAAATTTTATTCATCAAGGATGAGTTAAATTGATAAAAAGTTACAGTAAATTCATTTTATAATGTTAGAAAAGATTATATTTTAAATAAATGATGTTCTTTTGACCTTTCTATTCATCATAGTATTTTGGGGGGAAAATGGTACACGACTGTTTTCAACATTAAAAAATAATAATTTATGTTTTTTGAGCTTAAAATCAGCATATTAGAATGATTTCTGAAGGATCATGTGACACTGAAAACTGATGTGTAATCAGCAACAGTAATGCTGCTGTAAATTCAGCTTTCATCACAGGAATAAATTACACTTCACTATATATTCACATAGAAAACGACTGTTTTAAATTGTAATAATATTTCACAATTACTTTTTTTTTTTTTTTTTCAGAAGAGACTTCTTTTAAAAACATAAAAAATCTTACCGATCTAAAAGTTTTGACCGGTAGTGTATTTATCTCTCTCTCTCTATATATATATATATATATATACACACACACACACACGCATAGTTTACACGTTATATCATTGGTTTATCCATGAATATGCCTTGGGTTGTCAAAGGGACAAGTGTGATTTCTCAGAACACAAGGGGTTGTACGTTATTCCAAACATTGCCTACAGCAGCTAATATTATGCATTGTATTCCCAAACTAACAGCTTTGTCCATCCTCTGCTTGTTTTTCTTCAGGCCGACACTGACTCTGACCCATAGAAACCTGACGGGAGGCTGTAATGTGAACTGTGGCTGTCGGATCAACGAGTATGCTCCTGTTTGTGGCTCCGATGGCATCACATATTTCAACCCGTGTCTGGCGGGATGCAGCACGGTTGGCAATGACAGCACTGGGGTGAGCCAGACTTCATGTCTTTCTGGAGGTCGTCTGTATTTTAAAGGGTTAGTTCACCCAAAAATGAAAGTTGTCATTAATGATTCGCCCTCTTGTCGTCCCAAGCCCGTAAGACCTCCTTTCATCTTCGGAATACAGTTTAAGATATTTTAGATTTAGATTGAAAATGTATGTACGGTATACTGTCCCGTGCGTCTCCCTCAGACTGTAAAGGAAGCTCGTCTATCATGTCTGAAAACATGTCAGCATGTAGAATTAGAAAAAATTCTAACTAACCCACTGATGTCACATGGACTACTTTGATGATGTCTCTATTTTCTCTCTGGACAAGGACAGTAAACCGTACATACATTTTCAACAGAGGGACAGAAACTCTCGGACTAAATCTAAAATACCTTAAACTATGTTACAAAGATGATAGGGTCTTACGGGCTTGGAACGTCATTAATGACATCATTTTCATCTTTGGGTGAACTAACCCTTTGAGGACAGCACAAACCTTTTTAGGTCAAGATTTAAAACCAGAAACATTCATGACAAATCTTAATCATCTATTCTAGTTCAGTCAGATGTTCAACATGTAAATATCGTATCTCATTATCCTTGCCACTTGATCTGGATCATTGATGCAGCGTCCCTTTTATGGATCCATAGTTGGCTATCCTTCAATAGTGGTGAATGAGAGACTACATTAAATATGTTTTTTTGTGTGTTCCCTTTTGCTCAAATAGCAAGAAAAACCTCCATAATGGTGTTTTCACAACTTTCAAAAAGAGGGGATAAATAGAGATTGATAATGGCAGTCAGAAGAGAGAAAGGCGTCAATTTATCCGTCACTCCGACAGCTGCTGTATTAAAAACACCCTCACAGCAGCGTTAACTTTTTTTTTTTTTTCAAATTTGATGCATCTAATATAACACAAAATATATCTTTGTAATGTACATAAATCTTTTAAATGAAAGTATAGAAAAACAGATTTGAATGTTAGTTGGTGTCAGCATGCCTAAAAAAACATTTAAATAGCAGATTCTGTGTTTGAATTTTAAACTGCTATTATTATTATATTTTTAAAAGAGTGAAATTAAGGTGTTTAGTTTAACTTTGTTTTTCTTAAGTAATCTCAGAAATTAATATCTATGGTAATGCTTTGGTCACCATGATTTTGCCGAATAAGATAAGTTCATGGATCAACATTTCTGTCTGAAAATGTAGGTGTACATGATGATGTACTTGGTTGAATCTCATTCCCCAATGTTTTTTTTGTTTTTTTTTAAATGTAGATCAGAAACTACACGGACTGTGCATGCGTGCAGAGCAGACAGGTCATCACCCCTCCCGCCAGCGGACAGGGCAACCAGCTGCAGCTGGTCATAGTGAAGACCTACCTGAACGAGAACGGATTCGCTGTGTCAGGGAAATGTGATCGCACCTGCAACACACTCATCCCCTTCCTCATATTCCTCTTCATCGTTACGCTCATCACAGCTTGTGCACAGCCCTCCGCCATTATCGTCACTCTCAGGTAGGAAACAGTAATGTATATAGTTACTAAAAAAATCGAAATCATTTGGGCACTTGAAGCACTTTTTGAAATGTTTTTTCTTTTGAAATGTCTTTTGCTCACCAAGGCTTTTATTTGATCAAAATACAATAAAATGAATTGTTTTCTACTTTAATATAATTTTAAAATTGTCATTTATTTCAGAGATGTCAAAGCCTTTAGCATAATTACTTTTCACATGATCCTTCAGAATTAATTCTGATTTGCTGCTCAAAAAATATTTCTTATCAAAATTGAAAAATGAAAATGGTTGTCCTGTTTAATACTTTTGTGGAAACTGATACATTTTATTTAAAGGTATTTAGGAATATAATGTAGTCACTTTGGTACATTTCTTGAATCATCCTCTAGCTTTGTAAAACAGTAAGTGCCTTTCTCAAAACAATTCGTACTAATAGCAAAACACCATGGATTTCCTGCAAAAGCCAGTCTCTTGCATAGAAAGAAAAGTAGAAGTGTGTGAACATAGGACAATCGCTTTAGAGAAAACTGCATATAAAGACTTATGCTATGAACAAATGCCTAAATGTTGTGTGGGGTGAGACTATTCAACAGAGACTGCTTTTTTGATGTGCACTAGTGACACGATGGGAAGATTAAACAGGTAGTTTTGAGAATTTTTGATTTGAGAAATGTACCTGAGGAAAAACTAATACTATAGTTATCTATAAATAAGGGATTTGAATATCACCAAGTATATGGTAGTACGTGACAGAATCAAATCTTTTTCTATTGCAGGTCAGTAGAAGAGCAAGAAAGACCATTTGCTTTAGGAATGCAGTTTGTGCTGCTAAGAACTCTGGGTAAGGAAAGCTAAGATTTCAATATTAACTTTGTCATGAAAGGATAGCTGTTCATATAGCACCTCCTAGTCTAAACTTTCTTAAATTACAGCTCAGTACTAAGCATTATACATTTCATTTTGTTAAAAGTGCTCTAAGCGATGTCACACGTTTTTTAGGCCCAAACATTTTTTTTTGTCACATACAGCAAACATCTCCTCACTATCTGCTAGCTGCCTGTCCCCTAAACACCCTGTAAAAAAACACGATCTATGCAGACAACCCAGCGACCCATCCACGAAACATAACAAACTGACAAGAAGGCCCTGGGTGTGGGGTTTGGGGGGTCAGTGCAGATGAGGAGGGGGGAGGGTCTATCTAGTCTTTTGTTTGAAAATACTTTAAACGTCAACAAGAAGTCACGTCACCCGACATCGCTTAGAGCACCTTTAGGATGAAGGGAAAAAATACAGCATTGAAAGCTTAAGTGAATAATATCTATTTAAATTCAAACTCCCCTTTACCATAATTGTCATCTTCTTCCATGTCTGCAGCCTACATTCCCACGCCCATCTACTTTGGGGCAGTGATCGACACCACCTGTATGCTCTGGCAGCAGGACTGCGGCGTTCACGGCTCTTGCTGGGAGTACGACGTCACTTCCTTCCGCTTCGTCTACTTCGGCCTGGCTGCCAGCCTCAAGTTTGTGGGCTTCGTGTTTATCTTCCTCACCTGGTACTCCATTAAATACAAAGAGGATCAGCTGAAGCGCTGGCAGCAGCATCTGCCTCCTCTGGGCACCGTCAGTGAGCTCATCTGTCACGCAGGTGGCCACAAGAGCCACGCTCGCACCCGCTCCTGCCCTGTTTTCACACCCCGTCCCGAACCCCCTGAGCCGCCCGCTCTTAACCGTGGACACTGCAGCCAGAGCTGCCCCGGAAACGGCCTCAAAGCAATAAGCCCACCCGCCCGCTCAATGCAGGAAATGAGTCATATTTGAGGACGCGTGCCCCGACATCTGCCTCCATGTGCCTTCATGTCAGGTGTCGTCCTCATCGTCCCCCAAAAGGCAGGGCCAACGTACGCCTGTTTTTCCTCCCGCGTGGCTTTGTCGGGGGCTTGCTGCGCTCACCGATCTCAATGTCACGAGTATTTGCTGTATGGAAGACGTCTCATGGTGCTAAATGGGGAAGAGGGAGGACATTTCTCTAAGACGTACCACAAGCACAAATAGAAGAAATCAGTTCTATGCAACGCCGTATAGCATTAAAGCCTGCAGGCAGTGTATTATCATCATTCTCAACAGCAGAACATCGCATATGGTCTTTCTGAACAAATCTGTGACAAATTCAAATGTCTATGGTGTTAACTATCTTCTGGCTAGTTTGGAGGGGTTGGTTTCGTCAGTGTGATTTGGGTGTTATTCAAGGAGCTGTGAATTCAGTGCCTCAAATTGCCCTGTCAGCAGTGAGGTCTGCTGGATAACAAGCTGAAATGCATTTGGAGAAGGATTGAAACCTTGTCTGAAGAAGGAAATTCTTCATCTTCATAATCATTCTGTCTATTCAGTGATTGACTCTCAACGGCGATGTGTGTTTTGATGCATACTGTGGGATCAGATGTTCACATGATTTAGCAGACATGTTTAATATCAGGTCTCAAATGTCAAGCTTTGTTTAGACCAATTTTATGTTTTTTTTTTTTTTTGGTGAATCCGTATTCTAATCAGTTGTTCTTTGTTGTGTTGACAGCAAAAAACACATGAAATCTGATGTTTACAACCCCCATCTAAACCACATACACATCTAGTTTGAAATCTGATTCAAAACTGATTTGTTTTCCAGTCTGAATGGTTAGATCAGACATGGAATGACAAATCGAATGTGTATGTTTTTGCTCTCTCTGCAATCTATTGTTCCATAAAGATAATCTAAAGAAGCATAAAATAACTTTTAGTTCAATGAAAATTTGTCTTTAAAATGATTGAAAATTTTAATTGAACTAAAGGTTCTCTCTTCCCACAAAGAAAACAAAATTCCCTGCGTCCCAATTCGCCTTATTATACTACGCCCTAAAAGTATGTACTCTTGTGAAGAAAAAGTACATAATTTTGAGTGTGTAGCAAAAGAGTAGAGACATACTACTGCGTCATCTTTAACGGACAGCTCTGTCGCATGCATCCTATCACCGTAAACAGTCACAGGTAAAATCCTCCATTGAGTCTAATTTAATTTCCTACCGTTTCGGAGAGAAATGTTGTTGCACGTTCATCTGCCAGTCGTGAGTCTTTGATGCGGAGACTCTCCGAATAGGTTTCAATTTGAATAATGATATATTTAAAAGTTAATGGCTATCTTTACAAATGTTCACAATGCTTCTGCAGCTGCAATCTAATTTTGCCAATATTGAATAAATACAATTTCGTCAGGTTAGATACTGATAATTAATTACTTAAACCCCTTTATCTAAACCTCTCTACATAACCGCCGGAGACACGTGTCCTCCATGTGTGTAGTTTTTTAACATCGTTTCAATTGTGTTTGTAGTTAACCTAACCAAAGCCTCTGCCAATGCACGATGGGTTGTGGGCAATATCAGCCTAAGTTAGTGTGTGCATCGATCTGCACTTGGGATTTTGAACGGATATTGTAGACCATCCGGGTCTCTTTGGAACACTCATTTCAACATACTACGATTTGGGACGTACTAATTCTATTTTCGAATACTATTTAGGATGGATAGTATGCGAATTGGGATGCAGCAATTGTCTTTTTAAAGGGATACTCCACTTTTTTTTGGGAATAGGCTCATTTTACAACTCCCCCAGAGTTAAACAGTCAAGTTTTACCATTTTGGAATCCATTCAGCCGATTTTGTAATTTTTAGAAGAAAATCAGTAACTGGACAGTTTCTGGTCTCATTGACTTCCATAGTATATATTTTTTTCCTACTATGAAAGTCAATGAGACCAGAAACTGTCTGGTTACTGATTTTCTAATAAAAATTTGAAAATCGGCTGAATGGATTCGAAAATGGTAAAACCCAACTGTTTAATTCTGGGGGAGTTGTAAAATGAGCTTATTTCCAAAAAAAAAGTGGAGTATCGCTTTAAGAAGCATTCGCTAAAAGGTTCTTTTGGGAAACCCAAAATGGTTCTTCTGTGGTATTTGCTGTGGTGTACAGCGAACTGAGACATCAAGTGTCATCACTTATGTGTTGTCTTTCCACTATGGCCTGTACACAAGAACGACAACTATACAGATAGCAATAACTGTGTTAGCATTTCACACCAACGGATGATAATGTGTTGTTTTTAAAGGGTGAGCTGCAATTATGCATTTGCCGGTTCAAATACTCAAGCACATTAAAGTCAGATGGATTCTGATTAGCTGTCAATATTTGTGTTCATCAGCTGGAGGAAAAAAAGGCATTTTGAAAGTGATCTGTGTCATTTATCATTGTGGTGTGGAACTAAAATATTTTATCCAAATTTGACAGTATTACAGCTATAATATTATAGTTATCGTCCTTGGTGTGAACGGCCCTTTGCACTCAATAGGAGTGTTTCTCAGCATCGTTATGTATTGACTACAAATCAGTCATTCGTAAAGGTCCGATTTGAAAACAAAACTGGATTTGTGTGCTGTGTTAACAAAGCGAGTCAAATTCACATGAGGAAGACCGCTCATGCCGCGTTCAAATTTCTAGCACGTCTGAGCAGTTTTAGCCATAGCAGAATCTGAATTGTCAGCTTTGGTTTGGGAGCTGGCGAATTATACGAGCATGTGCTCTCTGGCTGAATAGTAGTGGTCCTCAAGCACTCGCTATATATATTCTTATGCACCAATTATATACAGTACACAATTCAACTTCTGCCTAATAATATGCAAACTTCAGATTTTCCGTACTCTGTGATGGCTTTATAATGCTAGTTCGGCAGTTCATTCGAAATCTAGCATTTAGATCAGTTACAGAAGTCATGACATAGGCTATTTAGCCATGCGCAATGATTTACATAGGAAAGGTGTTCAGTTCTGTCTTATGCGGGACTAACATGCTAGTTAAATGCTTAGCATGCAAACAAAAACAGAAAAATGTAGAATATGCTATGTATTAATTCCATCCTTTCACAAATGTCCACTTTAAATTATTTTGTAAGCTGTAATGCATTATGATCACAATCTCATTACGAGTACATGCTTTCCCTGCTATTATTTGAATTTGAAATGGCTTGCTTTTTTTATGTTAGTGAAAAAGGTGTACAGTGGTGAAAGTCTGAGCGCTTTAAAATAATCAGGAGCTCCCCATTAGCTTGAGCTACTCATGTGAGCTGCTCAAAATCAATAAACCTAGTAATTGTACAAAAACTGACTGTTGGTCATGTAATGGCTCCAAGACAGCCTAAAATATCAATGAAAGTACACTACATTTTTACTACTCGTGGACACAGATGATCTGAACTCCCACATGTGAACTCATCAGACATTTAATTCTGTCTTTTTTGAATATTTTGACATGTATTTATTGAAATAAAAGTTTTGAAGAGAAGTGCCAATATCTATCTGTCTGTCTTTTCCGTTTTTTCCTTGATAAACTAGGTAGACGGTGGCGCCACCTACAGTACAGTTCACCCTACGACCACAGTTAAAGTCCCCGTGAACCGGAAGTTGCAAACGATTATTCTCCAGTGCTCTGACGTATTTCCAAGTGAAATGGAATATTGAACAGAGGGCAGGGTTTTACTGTAGCGCTCCTCCTCTCCATCTCTCGCTCATAGCAAACTAACGGTTTGAGGGGAGTGGTTAAGCGTTTCCCCACCCAAACTGTGAAACCTATGTCATCAGAAAAAGAAACCGTTCCAGACCGGAAGTAACTTTTCAGATTTTGATTAAAGATTACTAAGGTGAAACATTTTTTTTAATATATATTCACTTGCACGGATTAATTGTTCACCACAAGACTAGTAATATGCGCTAACAAAGTAAATAGGTTCAATTTTGATTTCACGGGGACTTTAACACTCCTTTATAATGCTGAGAGAAATATCAAGAGTTAGAAAAAGATGGAGCGTGAAAAGAGTTAAAGGGATTGTTCAATCAAAATAAATTTAATTATTTCCTAAAACATGTTCTTCTAAACATGTACAAGTTTATTTCCTCTGAACATGAAAAAAGATTTATATTAAAAAATATATATATCCACTGACTTGACAGTAGTTTTTCCTTCTACCGAAGTCAACCCCAACACCACCATCTCCTCTACTATTCTTTTATAAAAACAATTGGATTGCTTTGATATCGCTACTTAGATCCAATTTTCCGAATCTCGGCTACTAGTCTTTAGCCCACTAGCATTTCACGCGTGCCGTCTTGCCTATCGGCCGTCTCATTTTACACCCGTTTCACTGAAGGATACGGGTTATACCCGGCATTTCAGTCCTAAATTAGTAGTGATAGTTGTAGTATCATTACTAATTTACTGTTCATCTGTTATAATGGCGAACACATCAGATGTGTGTTTAACGTTACCTCTGAGTGCAGGTGAGGACACATTCGAGCTGTTCTCGGTGAAGCAGGAGCTGGAATACATAGAGAAACAGATCCGTGGTCTGCTGGAGAAGCAAGCCGAGCTGCTGGATCGGCGGTCAGCACTTGAAACATCACGCGCCGATTATCACAAGTCAGTGGTTTAGTAACTCTTTGACTCGGACTTCGTCTACTCTGTGCGTTTCTCTGCCCAGGAGGACGCGATCATCTCTGGCTTCATTCACACCGGCACCGACACAACACCATGGACCATGGATCACACAGCGGAAGACACAAGCCAGGACCAAAGCGGGGCCACAGGACCACAGAGCTTACAGCGGGGGAGCTTCAATGCAAAGCAGACAGGTGAGCATACAGGTACGTAATCCTCTTCTTTAAATGACAGACAGAGAACTTACGGCTGGAGGTTTCACTGCAAAGCAGTCGGTTAAGCGTTCACTACGTGTCTCTCTTCACAGTGGGCTGCCAGATAAATACACTCAACGGTCTGTGGAGTACAACAGCGTTAGCCTCTTCTTATGCAGTCAGAATGTGATAGAAAACTCCGGTAAGAAATGGACATCCAGGGGTTTAGGTTCACACAGCAAACAGTGCATCACATCACTTCATCTCAACAATTCAGCACTCAGTGGGAAATGCACATATATATGGCCGTCGCCCATCTTCTGAACTGGCATTCACATCAAGTACTTTTACAAAATGTGAGCTGAATCTCAGGAATGATAATCAAAGAACTACACTTCCCAGAGTGCACCACCAGCAGCAGAAAACTGGCTGCTTGTCACCTGATTGTCATTATCACTGATTTGGAACACCTGAAAAGGCATGGAGATTCTTAGTCAGTCAGAAAAACAAACTTCAGAGAGAAGAGGCTCCAAGTTACTCATATGTTCAGTCCAAAGACGCCAATGGTCTGTAAAATGTTTTTACTTTCATGGTGTTTAAAATGTGAGCTATGTTTAACTGCTATGATGTTTAAGTAACACCATTTATTTACAGTATTTTGCCTTTTGTAAAAAGTTTGTAAAAAATGAACAGTATAAGATGCAAAAGGATGGTATAAAGTTAAAAATGGTAACTTTACAAACAAATTTGGAAGATTCATGAAATCACATTTTCTTCATTGTGTTGTTAAATTAATGTTTGAATAAAATTGTAACTTTTGTTCTCTGTCTTTTAAAGGTTTACAACATAATTTGCTGAACAGAACAATCATCTGACAAAGCCAAAATAAAAGTGATTGAGTTGGAAATTTGAGTTGTCCTTGTGTCCTTTGGACGTTGAACAGGAAGAGAACTTGACATTTACAATTTTATATTTGTGCTTTTTCCTATCGTTTGTATTTATTTTATTCCTTTCTCTTGTCTTTGCATTTTTTCTGAGCCCATTGTTTTTTTATGATTTAATGTCTTCCATCCATCTTTCATTTATGCTCTTTTAATTATTAGTAATTATGCTGTTCTATGTTCCTGTAATTGAATATTTTATGGTGATTCCTATTTTTCTAAAACTGTTCTTTTTTGTATTGAAATGTACTGCATCAAATATTTTGT